TCTTCTCCCGTAAAGATTTACAGCCTTGGAAGCCCTGTACAGGGTCGCTATGAGTCGGAATCCACTCCATGGCACATAACAACAACAACAACAACAACTGTTACTTTTGGAAAGAATTACAGTTCACTTTTGAGAAAGGTAGAAACTGGTTATTTAAAGTGTCACTAATTAAAAGCTCCCAGAAGTTATTTGCAAACCTGTAGCTACATTGCGTATTTGTGTGTATGGTGTTGTTTGTTTGTTTTACAATATAACAAATTGTGTGCCAAACTCAATGAGATGATACTGGGAAGGGGATGAAATTTAGCTCTTAGCCCTGGTTGAAAGAAAATGTCTTAGAATAAAGGGCATACTTCCAATGAGGGACTAATAGAAGTTCTATGTATCTATCCAGAGCAGCATGGTGAATATTCACTTGCTTTGGTCTATCCATATGCAAGGGAAACCAATCTGGGTTGAAGGGATAGACTAGCAGACAGGTGGTGATTAGGTATTTCCTGCAGGGCTTGATATTTCATTAGAAAAAAACATTCCTAATAGGAAACAAACCAATGGCTAAACATATGAATAGCAGTCTTGACCCTTTTAAGAGGACAAACTTAACAAGGCTAGGGTTCCAGACAACTGAGCTGGAGGGCAGGCAAGAAAGTGGGCCAGGAGCTCAATTTGACCAATGGAATCACCACAGTATAGGCTGGCATATACAGCAGTTCATGGGTATGTCCTGGCTTACTGTTGTTGTTGTTAAGTGCCATGGAGTTGGTTTCAACTCAGTGACCCTGAATAGAGTTTCTTAGGAGCAACTGGTGGATTTGAACCACCGACCTAGTACTTAGCCTACAGAGTCACACTAGGACTCCCTTGGCTTACTAAAACATGCTTTATCTAGACTACCAAGAAAGGTTCCAGCCTTAGTCAGGATTTGACTCTGGAACTGCTTGGGAGTTGGTATATAGACAAAGTGATTGTGTGCATGTAGCTTAATCAGGCAGGACTGAAACACTATTTGTCCTTCCACAAAGAAACTTGGGATGCTAAAGAGCCGCTTCATCACTCCAGGTCAAGGGCCTTTGTTTGAGTGGATGTTAAAGAAGTAGTGAGTAAGATACTCTCCTGATTTTCCTTTCTTCACCCATCCACTGACTCACTCATTCAGTGCAACTTAGTCATTTGATTATATATCACTCAAGCCAGAGAAAATGTATTGCTGTATTCTAAAGCAATTGACTGCCGTGGAATTGGGAATATAATCTACATGCCAGGCTGCCCCAGGGTGCTCCCTTCTTTCCATAGTCACCATCTCGCAGAAGTGTTTGTGCAAGTCCCTGTCTAAAAGTCATCTCTCACAAAGAAGGTAGCGAAACCTAACATTCATTAATTTTTGTTCGTGTCAGTGCTGAGTCAAATTCATTATTATATTTATTGCAAATCAAGAATAGATTTCATGTTTTATTCATATCTACACAGAAGAAATTGAAGCTCAGAGATGTTAGGTATATTGCCTGAGGCCACACACCAACATGGTACTCGATTGTAGAGCACAATGGCTCTATAGTACAAGCGCTAGGCTGGAAACCATAAGGTCAGTGATTCAAGTCTGCTAACTACTCCTTGGGAGAAAAATGAGGCTTTCTGCTTCTGCAAAGATTTACACAGTCAAAACTGACTCCACAGCACTTAACTACAACAAAGTCAGCACTTCATTAGATAGAGCTTACAATTCAGTTATATCTTTCTTTCATACCCTTCTGTGGTCACTACATGGTGCTGATTCTCAGAACCATTTGTAATCCCTTTGGTCCTTAACTAAAAAGAGGCATAAAGAAAGAAACCAAGTTGGTCCATTACCTGATGCTGAAGAATATCTATTTCTTGAGTTCATAGTACAAACCTGAGGTCACTAAACAGGTAAGAAAGGATTTTTAGGGAACTAGAATGAAGTAGCTAAATGAAAAAGGGGCTAAATTTAATGCAGGCAACAGAAAGTTCCAGACAACGGGTACATTACTTTCCTTTCTCATTCTCTATCTAGATTGAGTCTGTGTCCTGATTGAAGCTTAAGTACATAGTGAGAAAGCTCCATAGCAATCTGGTCAGAGAGTAAAATGCTAAATGAAGGTCATTATCATCACTAGAATAGTCAGTGTTCCTAAAAATCAAGCCATTTCCTGGAGCTAGAAAGGAAGCTACAAAGTCTCTTCTTCTGATCCACCATCATCATCACCAATAAAACAATAAAACAGAAGAGTACTAGATGAGGCAGTGTGAAAAGGAAAAGAGGTTCCTTCCAAAATCCCAATTCTGCAGCCTTTATATGTCAAAAGAACCCTGTTACCCACCGTCTTCCAAAGATTCCTGTTGCTGTTGTTAAGTGCCGTAGAGTTGGTTCCAACTCATAAAGACCCTGTATAAGGTTTCCGAAGAATAGCTGGTGGGTTTGAACTGCTGACCTTGTGGTTTGCAGCCCAGTACTTATCTGACAACACCACACCAGGAGTCCAAAGATTCATAAGAACTAACAAATTCCCAGGAAACAGTGTGAGAGACGTAAGTCCTATTAGCTATGTAACTTCTGAACCTAACAGGCAAAAACAATAATAAATAATGTCAAGTCAGAATTCACAACTTACACTAAAGAGTTGTAAGGGAAGGAGTGAATAATCACAGCAGAATTCAATTCAAGTCATCAAATATTTACTGAATACTTAGCTCATGTTGAGTGGGATTAGAGGTCTAACATCTGGGTATATGTGAATACATGTGTCTGTTATAAAGGAAAAGAGTTCATGTCAAGAAGCGACTGTCGCCCTATTGAAGAATTTCTCCAGTGCCCCCTTCATGTCTCTGTTCCTTAGGCTGTAAATGAAAGGGTTCAGCAAGGGGGTGACCACTGTGTACATCACGGAAGCAATTATGTCCTTGTCATTGGAGTTGCTGGATGAGGGGAAAAAATACAGACCAATAATTGTTCCATAATACAGAGACACGACAGAAAGATGGGATCCACAAGTGGACAAGGCTTTGCAGATTCCCTTGGTAGATGGAACCTTCAGGATGGTGGCCCCTATGTGACCATAAGAAATAAGGATGCATATTAATGGGAGAGTAATTACTGCAACTCCCACTGTGAAAATGACCATCTCATTGAGGGAAGTGTCTGAACAGGACAGCTTCAGCAGGGCAGCGAGGTCACAGAAGAAATGGGGAATGGTATTGTCAGCACAGAAGGACAAACGAGCCAGGAGGAGGGTGTGAGACAGGGCACTGGCACATGAGAGGAGCCAGGACACAGCTACGAGTGTGGTACAAAGCCCCTCTCTCATGATGGTGGTGTAGTGGAGGGGGTGACAGATGGCCACATACCGATCATATGCCATGGAGGTGAGAAGGAAATTGTCCAGATCTGTAAAAAATATGAAAAAATACATCTGTGCTATACACTCTGAATAGAGGATGGATTGGTCCTGAGTCTGCATATTTATTAACATCTTAGGGACAGTTACAGATGAGAAAGATATGTCAGTGAGTGCCAAGTGGCTGAGGAAGAAGTACATGGGGGTGTGGAGGCGAGAGTCCAATCTGATGAGCAGGATGATGAGCAGGTTCCCCAGCACTGTGGTGAGGTACATGCCCAGGAACAGAGCGAAGAACATGCCCTGCTGCTCTGGTCTGATCGGGAGCCCTAGGAGGAGGAATTCGGACACACTGCTCTGGTTCTTCCACCTCATGCTGCTCTTCTCTCTGCCATGTTGAAGAATAATTGAGAACACGAAGGACTCAAATGATCATTTTCATAGCTATATTAAGAATACAGGCCATATTTCAGAAAGTGGTAAACTTTGTTTCTCAAATTTTCCTCATACACTGGTACATAAGGGAATTAGAAATATTGTCAACAAGGCAAATATTAACAAGAACCACTTACTGACAAGATAGAACTCTTGCTTCAATGGTGCTGAGGACCACACAGTGGAAAATGGCGTCTCACCTGAGTTATTGTCCCAAGAAGGCTCTTTGGTGAGTATTCCTAGTCATTAACCGTGGCACAGCAACAAGTGAAAGAATTTGGTTTCAACACCCATTGTTAAATTCCAGAGGCAAACTTTTAAAATAAAAGGATGTAAACAATAATACTGTGTTTATCAAAGAATACTCATCAATATGCATGCATTTCTGCTTATGTCAAATCAGTAGAGGGTGCCTAAGAAACTCTGAATTATATCAAGCCACTTACCCTTAACTGTAGTCAAAGAAGTCTTTTTTAAAGATTAGATTTCAACATACCTACTCATTTTTAAAAATTCTCAAATTATTCCTGCTGATCTTAAGATAAAGTGTAACAACTCTAATATAACTTAAAGGTCCCACAAAATTGGTGCCTCTCCTATACCCTCACTACCTTCTTGGTCTGGCTTCCCTCAAAAGACACATTTCTGTTTGATGCAATGGTTGAAGTCGCTGAGTTAGTGATAACTTGTTACTACAGCAATAGGAAATGAATACATTCCAATTGGAAAACTTTCAGGTATATAGTGTACTGGTATGCACTAAAAGCACAAGTGTCCTTCCCTAACTTCCACATTGCATACAACAAAACAAAACAATCACTTAACAGTCAATTCCTATGTAACAAGTAGGGAAACAAGTACTATCCTTAGAAGCATTTGTCACTCGTTGCAAAAGCATGACAACCCCTTCTCTTACCAAATCTCATTGCAAAAGAGTGACAACCCCTTCTTTTACAAAATCTCAAGATCTACCTCTTATTGAATTAAGAAAAGTCAGAGTGTTAGAAAGGATTCTTACTCACCAAAAATATTTCTAGTTAGGATAGAAAACTCAGCAGAAGTCAAGTAAATGATAGATTTTTAAACTTCTGGGTTTTAATCTAACTGCATACACCTTCTAAACATTTCTCACAAGCATCCTTAGCCTTAACATACATATTGAGGCTGATAAGTAAACACGTTGTTTTAAAGGAGCTAGACTCAGATTTCTTCCTTTTCTTAGTGATACCCAAAGAATGAGACATTCCCAACTCTATTGCTTCAGAGGCAGTGCAAGACGATAGAAAAGAACCAAGGGTTTTGGCATGATACAGACTTGGCTCACAGTCAAAACCTTAGCAGGTTTTTTAACCTTTGTAAATTTAAAAAAAAAAAAAAAGGTGATCTTTAAACAATGAGTGGGTATACCCCAGATGGTTATTGTAAAGAAGAAATGAGATGATATATAGAGCTCTGGTAGCGTAGTGGTTACGAATCGGGCTGTGAACCGCAAGGTCAGCAGTTCGAAACCACCAGTGGTTCCGCAGGAGAAAGATGAGGCTTTCTGCTCCCGTGATGATTTATAGCCTCGGAAACCCTGTACAGGGTCGCTATGGTGGTAACTGACTCGATAGCACTCAACAACAACAGTAATAATACCCAGGAGAAAATGAATAGTGTCAGTTCCTCTGCTGGATTCTGGGAACTTGAACAAAGGTGTAAAACTGGAATTGGAAATTGCTGGCAAACATCAGGATGGCAAACCAATAAGGAGAAACAAAATAGGGAATATATAAACACAGAGAAAAAAGTCCATCATTCTACTGAAAGAGTGATCATTCAGGCAGGCATGAGAAAGGGAAGTTAGACTTAACTATGGACATAAACTGAACAGGACATTTAGGAGAGGCTTGTTCTCACAAAAGTAGCTTATGTTCTGATATCCAGAAGCTGAAGACCACCCACAGCCAATCAGAACTCCAATCCAAAGCCAAGGGGATAACTGACAATGGCCTCTATGAATAATAAAGGTCTACTCTCATAAGCATGGGATCAATGTGTATATTCAGCAAAGTGGCTTTGTTTATACTGAGTCAGTCTCCGACATCTTCCTTTATTTGTCCCTATTCACTTCACCCTGCTTCTCAACTTCTAGTGCCCTCATATTGCTTCAGAGGTAGGACTGTTGTTGTTGTTATGTTAAGTGCTGTCGGTTCCTATGCATATCAATCCTGTATAGGGTTTTCTAGGAGCAGCTGGTGAGCTTGAACTGCCAACCTTGCGGTTCAAACCCACTTCGCAATCCAATGCATTAACCCACAGCGCCACACACAATCAGACATTTGGAACTAATAAGTAAACATTTGAAGGGACATTGTTCCTTAGAAAGCACATGCATTTATCCAGCAACTGGACTCTTGAAACCTACCGTCAAGATGGCACTGTGGTAGACTGGTGTCCTGCTAACAAAGAGGAATAATGCTTACACTCAGGGGGAAAATCTCTAATGTTGGCATTTGGAGTATTTTGGTAGTCAGTGGGAGACCCCCTTGAAACCCCTGGCTTAAACATCTGAACGCCTTTGGTATCTTTGAATTCTGCAATATTCATTTTCTAAGTCAGGATCTGTGGCAAAAAATCAATTCCTGCTGAAAAACTTGGCTCCTCTGTGTCTCTGCCTATCTCTTGGCCCACTTAACCACTGTTTGTTCCTCTTTCTCTCTTCCCTTCTATCCCTTCACATTATCATTCTTTCATTTTCCCCTTCCTTCCCTCACAGTCCTCCCTCTACCTCTCTGTTTCAATTCTGTCACTCAATCTTTCTATTCTCTCCTTCTCAGTTTTTCTGTAATTTTTCTCTTTCTTCTCCCTTAAACAATAATCTGATTCTTTGTCTTTTATATCCATATATAAACTCATGAGAAAAAAAAAAAATTCATTCCATCCCAACACTGACCTTCTCTGCATTTATGATGCAGTATTTGGTGGGTAAATGTATCCTGAAGTTCTTTTTGTTGTTGTTAAGTGCCCTCTAGTCAATTCTGACTTATAGTGACCCTGTATAGGGTTTCCAAGGAGCAGCTGGTGGGCTTGAACCACGAACCTTGTGGTTAGTAGTCCAGTGCTGATCCTACAGCCCACAACAGGACTCCGAGGTTCTCTTTAGGGGACATAAAGACTGGTTTCCAAGGTCCCAGACATTTGGGAGCATAAAGAAGAAATGTTACAAGCTCTTACTCTCACTTCTGATTACAGCTCCAGATCTATGAATAAAATAGTACAACTAACCTGGGAGAGACCCCTAGGGTGTAGGAACCAGAACTTGTAATTTCTAGTCAAAGACATTCATCAAACTTGGATTAATTGCTCAATTTTCCCCTAAACTCCTCTGGGAAATGCATCTTGTGGGAAGTTTACGTTGGAACCTTAGTCCACAGAGAAAGGATCTCAAGGCACACTCAATCTCCCTCCTAGTTTAGGCTTTCCTTTCTCAGCTTTCTTTACTCTCTGGGATGGAATAAGCTCCAGGGAGGTATGAAAAACATTACTAGCTCCAACAAGGTCCAGATAGAAATCTAAATGACTCTCTGGCCTCTAGGATTTTAGATAAAATCATATCTCAGTCAAAGGACTTTTATTGGACCCCACTCACCAGGTAACCCAATGGATGGAAGTGATTGTTCTTTCCCTTTAGTGATCATAAGGAAGCGCAAAGTGAGAAGAAACAAGAATAATCACCTTTTTAAGAAGTTTTATGGCTTAATTGAAAAATTTAGGCTTGGCTACTTAGTGTAGTGGTTACGAATCGGTCTGTGAACCTCACGGTCAGCAGTTCGAAACTACCAGCTGTTCCTTGGGCGAAAAATGAGGCTTTCTGCTCCCGTAAAGTTTTACAGCCTCGGAAACCCTGTACAGGGTCGCTATGAGTCGGAATCGACTCCACGGCACATCACAACAACAACAGCAACTTAGGAAAAAGGAATCAAATTTTCTTGTAAACTTTTTAAAAAAGTAATTACATTGGCTACTATGTTGAAGAATCAGTAACAGGATATGAGATCTGAATGGTGCAGGAAGTAAATGTAACAATTTCTATAAAATTTACACTCATAATTCTTATCTTTACCACATCAGTATTCTCTGGCCAGAACTTCAATTACCAGTGTTTTCTGTTTTTTGTCAGTGACCTTATTATAACCATGGGAGACCAGTTTTCCCATACATGTAGCAGACCAGAAATGTTGAACAATCAACACTTTCAACATCCCACCCTCAAGAACTAGTCAGGTAAATACAGACGCTAATTGGTACACATATGCACCAGTTTACTCATTCCTATGGTGAAAAAACATCTGAGATGTGTTGGATTCTAGTTTCCCCAAATTGAAATAATCCAGGTGGTTATTTTGTTCCTATAAACCTTCCATTGATAACCTTCCATTCATGTTTCATTTTTCCATTCTCCTACTGCTGTTTCTTTCAACCCCCAAATAAATTACTTGTACTGAATTCTTGTCTCAGGGTCAGCTTCCGGAAAAACAGGACCTAATAATCTTCTTTAATCTAAGAGTGATTTTCTATTACTGAACACTTGTTTAAAAACAAAATTCCTGTCTTCACTATGACTCAGCAAGAATTTGTTAAGTGGATTGCTATGGGCCAGGATTAAGGAAGCAGAGATGAATCAGAAAAAGATTTTGCTTACTTTTTCTATTTGCGCATAGTCAAAAGGCCTGGAGATTCATAGAGCATTTAAATATATAAACTATTTGCTGGTAGGAATAAATGCTTGCTTGTTGATTGCAGGTTACCTTTTGAAGAGAGACTATTTCATGCCTTGATGTGTGGACACGTAACGCCTGTGGTGGATGTTGATGTGGATTGGTACCTTAGACTTGGTTCCCACTCACAGCAACCCTATGCACAACAGCAAAGTTTGTTCAACTATTTGTCTGCTGATG